CGGGAAGGGGTGGGAGGCTGATCTTTATTTTAACCAACAATAAAAGTTAACATTACATGAAGTTGTCTTTTTAAAACTGCAAACTTTCTGACCAATTCATTATCTCTCTCTCTCTCTCTCTGTCTCTCTCTCTCTCTCTGTCTCTGTCTCTGTCTCTGTCTCTCTCTCTCTGTACAAAAAAGTTATTTACATGAATAGACAGCGGTACTGTATAACTTTCCATTTCCATTATCACCTGAAACTTATCACACACCCAACCTTTCTTTACTCTTCGTCCTTCTCTGATTCCTAGCAGTTCTTTCAAGAGCACACTTCCTGCACTCGATGCAGGGCCTATAATAGAGTTTAGTTTTAGTAATAGTTTTTCGCCACTTGCAACACAATAAGGTCATATATATAAGTGCCGAAGATCAGAGGTATTACAAGAGAGTAACAAACACAAAAAAGAAGGAGGGGCGATACGGATGATAGATGTTTGATAGGATCGAAGGAGCAAACCACACCAGAGCACCCGCCAACCACCCACCTATAATAGCTATAACAGAGCAGATGTGTTCACAGCTCACTACGTGACCAACACAGTTTTGTGGCTGGGGAAAAATACACGTAGTAGACAATCCAAGCCCAGAGTAGACAAAGTATTTGGCAGGGGAGCAAATAATGTGTGAGTCCACATCAACGAGGATCCTTAGCAAAAATGGCTTCATCGAGTCCGAGTTTGCTCATTTGAGTATTCAGTAAATTTAACCCTTTCGTTGCCAGGGGGAATGCGTTCCTACTGTCAGCAGTGATTTTCAGCTGAACTCTTTACTAAGGACAGCAGTCTCATGTTTCAGTGTCAATGGACGCGCGCCCTAGATCTAACCCACTCGGGACATATTTCGAACCTCTGGTCTTCGATCGTGCCACTTTCTTCACTTCTCTCAAGCCTAGCAGTAAAGTAAAACAGCAAATTTGGTACCAATATGCATGTCTTTTATTCCCCAATACAAATCCACACAGCGCTTGTGGCTAAAACTCTGCACAGAAGAATTAGAGCCAGGTGATTAGCGTGACGTACATGTAACATCTTAAAGGCAATCAGGAGCGGCAAATTTTGCCAACATCTGAGAGGTACAGGTTACGGCACAAAGCCATAAATTACATATTTTCATGACGTACCAGTCATGACAGAAGGCAACGAAGGGGTTATGGGAACTTCTGCTATTTAATCCCATAATCCTCAAAACGAAGGAATGATAACGATATATGTGAGGCATCATGGCGAGATCAGGCACTCGTCAAAATAAGGAAATTGGAGAAATCAACAATTTTCTGCCAGTTTGGACATTTTGTCCAAAATGTTGTTTTTTGGATCAACACCTTGTATGTCCATTCAAAAACACTTTTAGGCTTTTATTTTATGGAAAACGTTGCTTAAAGGCATTTAAAAAAAGTAAATTTGCAGTTTCCAAGGACTCTAAAGCTATGGAATTCACCAAACTTTTGTGTCCATTTTCTCGCTAATTTTACTTCTGATACCAGGCAATCCCCACCTCATTCAACTGCAAATATCTCAACTTCTATTCAAGATAAATAGATATTTTTTTCAATGAAAGCAAGGCAAATGAATAACCTTTAAGATTATACCAATAACTCCATATGCCCATAAATTGACGAGCGCCCGATTCTACCGCGTCACGACACATATATATAGAGATTGCACTACCCGTATCCTGTACTGCTGATCCAAGACAGAGTGACGTATCTGACATACCCGAGACTTTTGGTGTTATTGGTTTGTTATGCTAATCTAATCCATATCCTACTTGTGTCAATGGCAGGGATATCCGAAATAATTGCATAGCAGCCAACTTTTCAAAACTCAATAACCGACTCTTTCCATGCTGCGGGTCAAGGTGGTGACCACTGGTCAAGCAATCCCCCCTCCAAGCCCTTCACACACATTTTTCCACTTTCAATAAATTCAGTTTGTTCAAAATAAACCTGTAGCTAAATATCTCTCCAATTGACTAGTCGGCTTCGTTCTCATTATTATTTGAAAATTCAATTTTGAAAATTTATAATTCAATTTTTCTTCAACATGTGCACCATAAGGACCAATATTAGAAAACAGAGACTACATATTTTTCTGTACAACAAAGGACTTCTGTAGTCATACCTTTAAAACATGTATTAAATATGATTTTTTACGTACTGGTTGGTAGCTATATAGCAGTTTTAAGCGGTAAGAATTTTCCGCATTTCCCCCAAAAATCATGAAACGTGCAGTTACGTCACTCTGTCTATGAACGTCAAATAAACCAGCAGACATGCCGCGGTTTACATGGGCGGCGACATCCCATAATCCTCCGGGTGATCGGCGAAGCCATTGTCGAGGCGGGCCAGGTTGTTGTTGCGTTTGCCCCAGCGCTGACACTTGGGACAGGGCAGGCTCTCTGTCATGCACGTCTTGTGGAACACCGACTTGCAGGTCGCGCACTGGGGACAGGACAACCGTCATTTAAGGTCACTGTAGTGACAACCGCCCCTGCAGGTGGG